GGATTAGGAGGTGTGTGTGGCCTTGCTGAAGGAGCTTTGTTACTGGAAGCGAGCTTTGACGTTTCAAAAGCCCACGTCCAGTCTCTGCTTGCTCCCTGAAGATCAGGATGTAAGCTCTAAGTGACTGCTCCAGCATTGTGCCTGCCTGCCTGCTGCCACATTCCTTGTACAGTGGTCAAGATACTGACTCTCTGAAACAGTGAGCAAGTTCCCAGTATAATGCTTTTTTTTTTTTTTTTAAGTTCCTGGTGTCTCCTCATAGCAACAGAAGAGTAACAAAGACAACGGCTTAGCCTGGTTCTTTTCCAGGTCAAGTCTGCATTCTAGAGTTCAGAAACCAAACCCACAGTGACTTGAAAAACACGCACCCATTTCCCACTGAACAAGGAGTCCAAAGTAGGAATCCCAGAGCTGACCAAATGCTCAGTGATCCAGATAGATAGATGCCTTGTATTTTCCTCTGCTGTCGACAGTGAGATCCACCTACCTCTGCCTCCTGAGTGTGGGGATTAAAGGTGTGTGCCACTACCACTATGCCTGGCCTTTAAAATTGTTTTTAATATAGATTTTAAAAATCAAACTCAGGTCCCCCAGTCCCCACCGCAAACACTTTTCTTTCTTTCTTTCTTTTTTCTTTTTTTTTTTTTTTTTTTGATTTTCGAGACAGGGTTTCTCCGTAGCTTTTTTGGTTCCTATCCTGGAACCAGCTCTTGTAGACCAGGCTGGTCTCGAACTCACAGAGATCCGCCTGCCTCTGCCTCCCGAGTGCTGGGATTAAAGGCGTGCTACACCACCGCCTGGCTCACCGCAAGCACTTTTCCCACTAAGCCATTTCCCCAGCATCTTGCCAGTCCACCTGCATTCGTGAATTGAAACTTTTGCTTCTGAAATCCTCTAACCCATGGGTTTTGTTGTGGCAGCCCTAGCCAGCTGCCACACACTCTCTCCATTACACCCACATTCTCACTTTTGAAAGGTTCGGAGGTCAACAGAGCACTCTTGCTAGGAAGCTGATAAACCTGCACAGCTGACCCGAGCTCTGGTTCACCCAGCCTTCCTGCGGGGTTTGGAGTCTTCCACTTTGAGCTTTGGTAGCTGAAAGCCTGGCAGGCAGGGGAGGAAACATAACAATTGGTTGGAGGATCCAAGGCGTGAGCCGGTTTCACTGCTGGGACTGACAGAAGGTGAAACACCACCACTGAGCCTGGTGTGCGCTTTAGTTTTGACAGGAACTCTCAGACGCGCCAAGGAATACAGATTGCCATGACATTTTTTGGAAGGCAGTGCGGCAACCTCAAAGGGTTAACCTTAGGAAAGTGTTATTTCTTAAGGTCGAAATGGTTGACTACAACATTGTCACTCTATCCAAGCGTTATATCAAAAGTCTATTCTTAAGGTGCTTGAGAGATGAATGGTTCAGTGGTTAGGACCACTAGCCGCTCTTCCAGGGAACCTGGGTTTAGTTCCCAGCACCCCACATGGTAGCTCACCCGACTCCAGCTCCAGGAGATTCAAACACGCTCCTCTGACCGCTTGCGGGTACTAGGCACACATGCGTTATACATACTTTCAGGTAGGTTAAAGCATATATATATATATATATATATATATATATATATATATATATATAATATATATATATATTATATAATAAAAATAAATAAATGCCGCATTTTGAAATTAGCCTATGGAGAGATAAAGGCATTAGAATAGAATGTAGTTCCTAAGGGGGAGGAGAGCTAAGGGCGCGGGCGCTGTGGCCCCCGGTTGTGTTGCGCTGGAGGTGAGCGACGGTGCAAAGGCAGATGGCATGGTGGGCGGGGAGAAAGAGCTCTCTATTCACTTCGTTCCCCGGAGCTGCCGGCAGGTGGAGGAGGAAGTAAACATCCCTACCCGGCGGGTTCTACTTACAAGGCCACAGGGCTTCTTGGCAGAGTAGTTTACGAAGAATTTCAACACAGCAACTGGCACACTGTTGACTGTGGCTTTCGAAGAGCAAGACCAAAATTTGAACAGTTCATCACCTCATTCGTGATTTTCGGCTGCTCTTGGAGCAGTTCTCATCTACACTAGCTCAGATTATGTGTTTGATGGCACAAATCCCCCTTACACAGAAGAAGATAGACCAAATCCCTTGAATCGTCTCTATGGCCAAACAAAATTAGATGGAGAAAAAGCAGTCCTGGAGAACAATTTCGGGGCTGCTGTTTTGAGAATTCCTGTTCTGTATGGGGAAGAGGAGAAGCTGGAAGAAAGTGCTGTGACTGTTATGTTCGACACGGTGCAGTTCAGCAACAAGTCAGCCAACCTGGACCACTGGCAGCAGAGCTTCCCCACACACGTAAAGGATGTAGCCAGTGTGTCCCGGCAGCTGGCAGAGAAGAGGATGCTGGTTCCATCCATTTAGGGAACCTTTCGCTGGTCTGGCAATGAGCAGATGACCAACTACGAAACCTCCCGAGCAGTCACTTAAGACCTATTACTGACAGCCCCGTCATAGGAGCACAACGCTCCAAAAATGCTCAGCTCCACTGCTCCAAATTGGAGACTTTGGGCATTGGCCAGCAGATGCCATTTCGAATTGGAATCAAAGACTCGCCCTGGCCTTTCCTGGTCGACAAGAGATGGAGACAGACTGTCTTTCATTAGTTTGTGTGCTGTGTATTTTTTTTTAAATGAAAAGTCTAGTATGTGGCACTTTTCAAGAATAAAGGAAATAGTTTTGTATGAGTACTCCTTAATTGTGACTCATGATCCTTCAGGTAAATGATGCTGTTGCTCAAGGGGAACGTTGGAGAGACTGAGGGCAGCCATGCCTTGTTTGCAGTCATGACTTTGAGTTGATCGTTTCATTCTGGTTCACCTTGTTCTTCAAGTAATGTAAATTATGATTCTTAATGTTCGAGAGCTGGGATGAAACAGACTGTTAGACTCTGGACGAAACGCATTATCCATTCCTGTAGCTCCGTTTTTGTTTTGTTTGTGGACCTTTGTATATTGATAGTTTCAGCGCGTGTAGGATCCTATGAAAATCATCGCTCCTCATTGCTTGCTTTGCTTGAGCCCAGATCAAAATGCTTGAAGAAAAGGAAACTTTATTTTTGCAACTTTAAGTATGGTTTTTACGCTTGATTCTTAATGTGTTGTGTATATCAGAACTGTATAGCCTGACACCTCACCTGCATAGCACCGTGTGGCAGACACTTGAGAGAGTGCGTGTGTGTGTATTTTTAATATAAATACATATCTGTCTCTTTCACTTTGTCACCAAGTGATATAATAATGAGCCTTGTTTGTCTTTTGATCACTTATGAATAACAATAAATACTGCTGGTATGAAAAAAGAATATAATGTAGTTCTTTATAAAAGGGTATATTACTGTATTACAGATAAAAGGGTATGGCTGGGCTGGAGAGATGGCTCAGAGGTTAAGAGCATTGACTGTTCTTCCAAAGGTCCTGAGTTCAATTCCCAGCAACCACATGATGGCTCACAACCATCTGTAATGGGGTCTGGTGCCCTCTTCTGGCCTGCAGGCATACACACAGACAAAATATTGTATATGTAATAAATAAATAAATAAATATAAAAAAAAGGGTATGGTTATAGCACTGTAGATAGGCATGGAGCAGAACTCCAGTAGAAACAACCCCAACACTGAGTAATTATGGACTATTGCCAAAAAATATTAAACTACATCTGAATCGGTCTATTTGGAAGATGACTGAGATGTTACATCAGAAAAAGGCACAGATTATCACCTTTATAAAGACCCTGAGGCTGGGGGCCCAGCTCGGAGGCAGAGAGCAAGTTTAACACGAGTGAGGTCTGGGGCTCAGTCCTCAGCCGGAAGGAACAAATAAGTAAACAAAGAAACAGAGTGAGTCTAATTTAATTAAAAAGAGGAAAATCCAGCCGAGCGGTGACGTCATGCCTTTTACCCCGGCACTGGAGGAGGAGAGGAGATTACAAAGTTAAAACATCTCTGTCCTCTTTATCTCTATCACACGGTTTATGGAGATTAGATTAAGGTTTGGTGATCCAGTGTGGCTTGCCAGGAAAGAGGTCAAACGACTTGCTGAGAGCTAGCCCTCACTGTACTAACATAAGAGCCAAAGATGGGAACTAAGAGGGACAGGAGAATGGAAAGAAGCTGCTCACTCAAACATCCTGGGGATCAGAAACCTCAACATAAAATGTCAGGATTGCCTATGGAGATGATGGGTGTTCTAAACCATCTCCAACAAGATTGTATAGAGAATGTGACTGAGTTTTACAAAAGAATGATCTGAGCACTCCCCTCTGCCCTAGACCTGAACAATGTTCCTCAGGAAGCCTCCTTAAAATTTCATTTACAAAGGACTGTCTTTAGGATAAAGTAAGCCAGCTTGCAATCTCACGCCCTCCTCCCCCCCATCTTTTAAGTTTAGGTGTAAATTACATTCTCTGAGCAATGTGGTTTAGGGATTGTAAAATCACCCAAGGGCATAGTTTTCTAAATGTCCCACTTAAATCTAAAGCAGGTAAGCTATCTGACTTTCTCCACTGATTCCTCTGAGCCTTCTGCCTTCTAGTCAAGGAAGGGACTTTACCTTACTGAGGTTCCCAAGCTGGGAACTCCTCCCGCTGCTGGCAGCGAGTAGTGACGACTGTATCTCGTCGCTGCCATAACTCCATCTTAACTCATTCTTTACAAAACAGTTTTAGATGCCATGACTGCTCACCTTCTCTGTTAAGGCTTCAAAGAACCTAGCACCTGCCTCTCCCAGAGACGGGAAATAGTGACAGCAGCAGCAGTTAGTTGGCCCGAGGTGGCAGGATATCGCCTGAAGTAACTGGGTAATTTATCGATTTCTTTGATTCTGATCTTGTGAACGTAAATTGAGTTCTTCAGGAAAAAATATTTTTATTATTTAGAACACAGGGAGACACCTACTCACACAAACCCCTCCTTATGTTCCTCCCCTAGCTCTTGGCCGAAGCTGCTCCTCCCTGGAGAAGCCCCGCCCCCTCCGACCGTCCTGCAAAAGTCAACTGTTGGGCGCTAAACTGAGCATTCAGAGCGGCCTTCCAGGAAAGGAGTTTCTGCGAGCTTCTGTAAGTAGACACATTTTTTTGATCCCTCTTCTTTTCCTCTTCCCTCGCCCAACCGGTTCTTTCTTCCCGCTGAGCATATAGATCCTCGTTGAGTAAGTGAGCGCGGGAGGTCTCCCCGACCCGGACGTCCATAGACCGATGATGCATAGTGACCCTGGGTTTTGCGCTCTGGAAGTTAGGGAGTCCAGAATCGCCTCGCGGTCCTTGCAGCTTCTAGGAGAGACTGAGACCTGAGTTAGGGAAACGGCAAAGTCGGCCTGCAGTCCGACTGTACGTGCATTCGTGCATGCGGCGGAAACGCCTGCACCCAGGAAGATCTGGGCTAGGAGTTTGCTGGATTGCTAAACTGAAGCAAATGAGAAAGATTGGGGTGGGGATTCGCGCATGCGAGGTAGAAAGCCAGTCGAGCAGGCCGGGTCACGCACCAAGGCACTGTACCAGGACCCTTTTCAAAGGGGTCCTTCTAGACTTGTGGCAAGTTCAGAAGGAAGAGGTGCTACTGCTTCGAAGAGAGACGGAAATATGAAGAGGTTTTTTTTTTTTTTTTTTTGGTTTTTCGAGACAGGGTTTCTCTGTAGCTTTGGTGCCTGTCCTGGAATTAGCTCTTGTAGACCAGGCTGGCAATATGAAGAGTTTTAAAAACAAAACAAAATGGAAATCCTCCAGTAAGATGGCTCTGCGGGTGAAGGTGCTTGCCCCGCAAGTCCTACAACCTGAGTTCGGTCCCTGGAACCCAAGGTTGGAAGACTTGAACCCACTCCTGAAGGCGGTCTTCCGACCTCTACAAGCCCTCGGTGACACGCACGCCCCCCCCCCCCAGGGTCATGCACACACAATATAACGATAACAATAAACCAGACTCAAGCTGAGTGTGGTGGAGTGTGCCTTTGTTCCAGCTTGTGAAAGCAAGAGAATGAAGGGTTCCAAAACAGCCTCTGTTACCTAGGGAGTTCAAGCCAGCCTGGGCTACACAGCCATGCCCTGTCTCAGAAAAACAACAAATTGGACTCGGAAATGTGGAGTAGAACGATAGTTATCAGAGACCGAGAAGGGTTGAAGTATTGGTCAAAGGGCACCGAGTCAGAGAGAGTGACTCTTGGTAACAATGATTAGTTCAAAACGAAGCAGATTTCAAGTGTTTCATCACAAAGTGTTAGGTAAAGAAGGTGACGGGCTTGTTAAACACTCTCCATCGCTTACACTGTGTCCTCTCAATGTAAGCAGTGAGCTGTCAGTTGGGGGAGGGGTGGGAGTGATTGGAAAGAGGATGACTCAGCAGTTCTCGCAGAGGCTCGTCATCAGCACCTTATGATGGTTCACTGCAGGATCGGGTTGCGAGCTCGCTCAGGCCTGCCTGGGCTATGGGAATCCCTTGTCGAACCCAGAGACAAGTAGATGGGAAGAGTTGGGTTTTGGATTTCCCTGCTCACCGTCCTCCAGTCGGGCTGTTTCCCAGGGATTGAGGAACGTAGTGAACAAACTGGTCAGTCCTGAGTGCTTATCTGGAGAATTCACTGAGGTCCCACGTGATGATGTGTAGTTCTGTGCCCCGAACCCTCCCTTTAAAGCACAGTGCAGCTTAGATTATCTGTTGGTTTTACCTGGAAGCAAGTTTAAGTCAGTTTCCATTTTGGAGCGGAAACCAGAGACAATGAGATGGAGCAGCGGCGCCCCCCAGTGGCTATGAAGTCCTTGCTTCTGTAGAAAAAAAAAAAAAAGACGTGACTTTGGTTCCTGTATTTCAGGCTTTTCCTGAAGAGTCACAGCAGGAGAGGCGAGAAATTGCTGGACTTTGCAGGTCCGCTAGTTGTCTAATGTCCTAGAGAAACTCCAGCATGAATTTGTCAGTTTACGTTTTTCTTTTTGCCTTGTTAGCCTGTTTCCGCATCTGCGCACCTGAAGAGATTGGTAACAATGACTCTTACAGAAAAGCCATGGGAATAAAATGAGATCAAACATAGGAAGTGCTTAGTATAATCCCAGAAAGCTGTAAATGGATGTGATTATGTGGTAATAGGGTTTTCCTGCTGGCCTCAGGGCTATGAGATGATCGTTGACCACGGGTTTACCGTGTTCTAGGTACATCACGATGGTGCGAGCCAAGAGCTGGACCCTGAAGAAGCACTTTGAAGGCTTCCCCACTGACAGTGACTTCGAGCTGAAGACAACTGAGCTCCCACCCTTAAATAATGGAGGTAAGTCGGAGCTGGCAGAGGCTGTAACCATTAGCTTCTGCCGCCGCCTAACGGAGAATCCATCCCCAAGTTTGACTTCAGACAATTTTTCTTATTAGTTTACAAAAGTTCTGAGTGTTCATAGCTTAGGCTAGTTTAAGCTGGGTGCTTCTTTGTAGGTCTCACCTGGGCTAAATGGTTAGTTACTTTAGGATAAGTCTCATTCATCTGCCTAATAATAGAAGGCTTTCTACTGGGGTCAGGTTGCAGCCCCCCCCCCCTTTTTTTTCTGAACAGCCAGATTGGGTTCTTTCCTTGTAGTGGTCTTGTGGGTTGGTGAGCTCCAGTGTTCAAGAATTTTTCAAGTTTCTACTTGTATTACTTTTCTTAAAATCCCATGGATCAAAACAAGTTGCCCAGATTCACAGGCTGGCAAATTTCTTTCTTTCTATTTTTTCGTTTTCTTTCTTTCTTTCTTTTTTCTTTTTTGCTGCCACCTCTTCTCCTCCTCTTCATGATTTTAGGTAACCACTGGGTTTCACACTCAACCCACCGAACCAGATTTCTTGATCGGAAGCACACAGTATTGGGAGGCATTTATGTCTGTTTTGCAACCCACCATCACCTTTTTAGGGTTTCTTTCCTATGCAGCTTGAATGTCATCATGGGTCCCCCTCCCCAGTATCTTTGATGAAGCTCATGTCTGGGTGCCTTACCCTTCATGGCTTTGACAAAGATGGCTGTCTCCTTTGTCCTGATGAGCCTGATGATGACAGAGAGGCCAGCAGGTCTCAGGAGTTCTACCCGGAGCCCAGCCCGTGAGCTGTGTCCCTAGGGTGCTGCAGTGAATTAGCTCCTGAGATCCGGGTGCAGTCCCTTGCCATGACAGGGTCACTCACTGAGGTTAAGTTGCAGTGGGCAAAACTTGGATACAAAGTTCCAGAAAATATACAGAGGAGGTCACTTTAGCAAACTATGTCTTCTTTTGTATCGATCAAAGAAGTTAGTAAAATGTTACACATTCTGGTTAGTTTTGTCAAATTGGCACAAGCTAAAGTTATCTGAGAAGAAGGACCTCAAGTGAGAAAAATGTCTCTATGGAATTGTGGGCAGGCAAGTCCATAGACGTTTTCCTGGTCAATGATTTACATAGGCGGGATCAGCCCAGTGTGGGCTCTGCCACCCTTGGTGGTCCTAGATTGTATTAAGAAAGCAGATGAGAGTGAGCCAGGAAGCGGAGTTCCTTCATGGCCTCTGCTTCAATTCCTCCCTTCAGGTGCCTCCCTGGAGCTCCTGCCCCTGTGTCCCTTTGTATTAGCCTGTGATTGGGGCAGATTTGGTCATGGTCTTTATCACAACAGTAGGAAGCAAAGGTGTTACATGACCACCGTATCACGGCGGCTGCAAAAGTGACCCTGTTAAGTTATTTAACTTGACCTTAAGTAGGATGGGACAATAATTGAAAATGTCACATGAATTGATCCCCCTAAAATAGTACAGGTAGCAGTATCATCATCATCATCGTCATCTTCATCATCATCAGCTGGGCTGGGTCAAACATGAAAGTCTTTCTTCTCTCCAGTGGGAAGCACAGGTGGGGAGCTGGAGGTGAAACTCACCATAAGAGAGTTTTCCTTATGTTTTAAAAGGTTTTAAAATCAATCCCCAGCATGGTAAAATTAATCACTAATAGCACGGATGGGCTGGGGTCCCTAAACAGAAAGACTAGGCTTGTTTATTCAGAATGCCAGGCAGCCATCCTGGCTTGCATCACTAACTGCATCTCAATTTTTTTTTTTTTTTTTTTGTAGAGGTCCTGCTGGAAGCCCTGTTCCTCTCTGTGGATCCTTACATGAGGTACTCTCTCCCTCCTCAGTTTTCATGTTTGAAGAACTGCAGCTCGTCTTTTAGGATAGCCCATGATCAAAACAGCAGGCTTTCCTCGTTCTCCCTATACTGTAACAATGGTGAGATTCGAGGGTCTCATCTTTTGTAGCCCAAGGTTGGCTCTGCGCAGTTTTCCCTTCCATTGCTCAGTGGAGCTGCTTCCAGGAGAGACGGGGAGAGGTGCAGGAGCTGGCCTCCATTTACCCATTCCCTATGGGCAACAGTGGAGCAGAAGCTGCTAAGATGAAAATCAGGTCTTGCTGCCTTCTCTTCCCCAGTATTTTGTGTTTTGTGATTCATAGTTGACTCAGACTTATAACTTCAAAAGCACTGGAGGGCAGAGAGGGAACAAATGCTCTTCCATGGCACTTCAGTGATTTCTTTTAACCTAAATAAGTAATACAGCTGATTGGCAAAGATTCAACTCTCTGTGGAAAGATACCATTTAAAGATGTTAACTAGCAACCGGGCATGGTGGCTCATACCTTGAGAAGCTGATGCAGGAAGACTGCAATTTTAAGACCAGTCATAGGGAGACCCTGGTAAATAAAACAAAGTGGTAATTAGCATTCTTTTGGGGGTGCTTAGTGTTGGGGTAGCAGATACCAGCAGGGCCCATGCTGTATTTTGAGTATGATTGACAGAAACTCACCTCCAACTGAGCAGAATGGTAAGACTCTCACATCATTCATAGAATGCATATTTTGGGGTTCAAGGCAGAGCCACCTCATGTTACATCTCACCTGGTTGCACTGCCCTGGTATATTGGATGTTGTTTTGACCCAATATTTTGCCATTTAGCTTGATACTCAAGATATCAGATAGTCTCACACACTAAGAATGAATTCTGAATGAATTCTGGTTTTTTTTTCCTTTTTTTTTTTTTTTTTTTTTTTTTAGAATTGCATCGAAAAGACTGAAGGAGGGTGATAAGATGATGGGTGAGCAAGTGGCCAGGTAAGTATTTACATCTGCTTTGCCGTTCAGATAAATGTCCTCCAGCTCCTGCAGGGTCTGTGTTCACTGCTCCCGCAGCTCCTTCTCCAGCCTCTGTGGTTCTCTAGGAAACAGTTTGGGAAGGCCCGCCTCCTTCTTGACTGAGAAGGTCGGAAGGATGCTGTAGCTGTGCCAAATACCTTAGCGAAGTGACTGAAAGGGAGGAATGGCTCGTTTTGATTCATCGTTTCATAGGATTCAGTGTGTAGCCCTTGCCTCTGTTGGTCCTGGGCCTGAGGTGAGAAGGATCATGGCAGAAACACAAAAAATATAAATTATATAAAACTAATCTAAAGTTGAGAGAGAATTAGGTTGCAAAACTTTACTTCAGTTATGTAAGTTAATATATATATATCTTTATGTTGTAGGATTATAGCTGATATTTTTGTTTGTTTTTTTAAGCATTTTTTTAAATTTTGCTTTAAAAAATTGTGGTGCTTGTGATTCAGCCCAGGCCTTCATGCATCCCAGGCAAGTACTATACGACTGAGCTAAGTTTTCAGTCTGATATTTTCATTTTATTTAAACTTTCTAAAATAAATGTGATATTTAGCTGTAACTTGGGGGGGGCGCATTCAAGAAGTAAGGTTTGTGTAAGAGGAGCTGCAAGAATCAGTAGATGAGGCAGAAAAGAAAAGAGGCAGCTTAGGAAGGAAAGGCCAAAGGCCAGAGGTCAGAGGTCAGTGTCTTGGGACCTGCAAGGGTGGAGTAGAGAGGTGGAGTCAGGTATTAAAGAAGAGAAGACTGTTGGCCTGAGTCCCGTCCCTAGAACCCATGGTGGACAGTTGACCTCTGACCTCGATAGACATGCCATGGTACCTGTCTCCTCCTCCTCCACACACATGAATAACAAATAAATAATTCAGAGATGTTAAAACAGAGTAGCCACTATGTTTCACACTCAGAAGGTTATGAACTCAGTGGGCTGGTGAAGGGGGAAAGCATATTGTTCTGGTTTATCATGTGGATGGAGAATGAGGAAATTTGAGTATAAAATAGGGAAGATGGGGGAAAAGATGAGATTATAAAATGGCCGAGTTGTGCCTTCTTACTGCTGAGAGAAAGGACGACAGAGAAGAAAATGCTAACAATGGCAGAAAGGGTCCCCAAGGGAGGGGGGAGGCTGATGTGTAGAGGATGGAGGAGAGAGGCCCCTGGATCCAGGGGACAGAGGACCCTTGCTAAGAAAGGAGAGAAATGGGCAGAGAAAGAGATTGGTACGGGACCAGTTGAGAATTTTCTTTGATGCTCCCACATGACTAAGAACTAAGGAGAGATTCCTCAGAGTCAGTCATGGATGACTTAGCTCAATGCCCTCTGCTGAACATTCCCTACAAAGCATCCTGACCCCACGAATGGGAAAAGATATCACGTTTCTTACTGTCTTTTTATCTTCCAGAGTTGTGGAAAGCAAAAACCCAGCCTTTCCCACGGGAACTGTTGTGGTGGCTTTATTAGGCTGGACATCACATTCCATTTCTGATGGCAATGGACTGAGAAAACTGCCTGCAGAGTGGCCAGACAAGTTACCACTGTCTTTGGCTTTGGGGACAGTTGGCATGCCAGGGTAAGTGTTGTCATGGCATGTTTTGTTCATCAGAATGTCTAATGTTATAACTTAACCAGCAAGGAGACACTTAAGGCACAAGGGTTGATTGGAGAAAAACTGTTAGGAATGAAAAATGAAGGAGCTTAAACAGAGAAGAATCTGTTAAGTAAATGAATGTAGAGAATGTTATACATAAAAGAATACAATATAATCTTTAGAAAGAAAGAAACCTTGGCTTTTATGATAACATAGACAAAACCAGAGGACATTAAATAAAGTAAGTCAGACAAATTCCACATGTTCTCATCTTCATCTTGTGTCAGCTTCTATTTATGTGAGAAATACCCAAGAGCAACAATTTAAATGGAGGAAAGTTTTCTCCCAGATCATGGTTTCAGTTCATTAACACATTTGTTTTAAGCTTGGGACAAGGTCAGTTATCATGGTGTAAGGGGAATGATGGGGCAGAATTGTCTATCTGATGGCACCCAGGAAGAGAAGAAAAACAAGGAGCCAGAAATGAGATGTATCTTTCTAGGGCATTGTCCTCAGTGACCCGCTTCCTCTGACTAGGCCCCAGCTCCTAACAATGCCATCATATTTTGAATCCATCAAGGGATTAATGCATTGCTTACAGCAGTGCTCTCATGATTTAATCACTTTGTCAAACCCCATCTCTGAACACTGGTGTACTGGAAACCAAACCTTAATCACAAGAGGCTTGGGGAAGACACAGCTCATCTCCAGACTGGGATTTAGAAAGTTGAACCAATAGATGTTGAGAATATAATGATGGGGTTTGAGAGATATGTGGTTTAAAGATACAAAAATTTTTAATTTTTGTTTTGGGGGGGTCTCCTAAGTGCTGAGTGGTGTGCACCACCACTGTCTGAGGGGGAAAGTATGGAGGGGAAAGAGATGAGAAAGAGTCTGAATCTATTCCCACATCCGTATGTATTCCCGTAGCCTTACTGCCTACTTTGGCCTGCTTGACATCTGTGGCGTGAAGGGTGGAGAGACAGTGATGGTCAACGCAGCAGCAGGAGCAGTGGGCTCAGTAGTGGGGCAGATAGCCAAGCTCAAGGTAAGTGTCTTCCTCTAGCCACACCTCTGCAGGACCCACTGCGCATGCTGGGAATGCAGCCGTGAATCCAGAGGACTTTCTGCACTCAAGGGGGTGTACGATCAACTTGCTGGGACTTGTTTAGAAGACAGAGGCTGAGAAAGGGGACGATGAGGAAACGAGAACAATAAAGATGAGCTGACCAGTGTTAACTGATAACACAGCAGATATCAAGTCAGGCATGAACCCATCTGGTTTACTGAGTATACACACACACACACACACACACACACACACAAACATATTTTTGTGTGTGTGTGTGTATATATTATATTTTATTACACACATATGTTTTGTTTTTACTGTGTCTTCTCTTGCTCAGTTTAATTGCCTTCCTTCATGACTCCAGAAATACAAAGAGGGACTTGAGGTCAGCCGAGCCAGGAGTCATCACCCACATGGCTCTATTGCAAAGGCTGTTGCATCAGGAAGAAGCGAGCAATCAGTATAGGTGGTGGGGCCATTGTTTGGGAATGAGCTCCTGGAACAGAAATGGAAGCAGAGTGTAGACTCTGATTTGGGCAGCTCTCTGCTCAAGGGATCCAGTCTGACGGCGAGTGTACAGGATAGCAGGCAGCTCAGACCTGGTTAGAATTTGTTTTCTCATATTGGGGATGTTCTCAGGTGACCTAGCAGAGTGATGTAGCTTTGTCAAAGGCTTCTGTAGAGGACTTAGGACATGTTCTTATAGGGCAAGGTCAGTGGAATAGAGTTGAATGTAGAGCTGTACCTGATAGCCAAGGGCTGGCCTCTGTTACTAACAGGCGCTTGGACACAACTGAGGCTGTAGGAAACACTTAGATGAGTAAGTCCATGCATGGGGAAAGAAGCTGAATCTCATAAACTGTCTCAGCTTTTGTTATTTAACCTTACAACCAGCGAGTTACATTTATCTTCCAACGTCGTTTTGGCATTCCAGAAATTCAAGAAATATTGGTACACTATAGATTGAAACCTTTGGAACTGATGGCTTTGGGGCAAGGCTGGTAACTGAACCAGGGTCTAGGACATGTTAAGCACAGACTCTACCACTGAGCTGATAGGATTTAAGGAGAATTTTGCCTGTATCGTTCCACGGGAGTTTGATTGGTAGGCTTTGTTTTTCTCTTTTTCTGAACTCAGAAGTTCTAGCTATATGTAGCATAGGCTATATTTACAATATTAAATTAGAAGTATTTTCAATATTCAAACTGCAAATGTTTTATTAAAAATATGGAGGACTATAGAGATGACTCCATGGGTAAAGGGGCTTGCTGTACCTACCTGATGACCTGAGTTAAGCCTCTGATATAAAGGTGCAAGGAAAAGGGGAGAACCAGCTCTCCAAAGTTGTCTTCTGACCTCTACATATGTGCTGTTACATGCATGTACCCATACCTACATATCATAAGTGCATGAACATGGTTAGTAATAAATATAAAATTTTAAAACTAGCTGAGAGCAAGGGGAAATGATGTTCCAAAGAAGCATTGCACTGTGCTGGAGAGATGGCTCAGTAGTTCTGAGCACTGCTGCTCTTCCAGAGGGTCCAAGTTCAGCTCTCAGCACCCGCATAGTGGCTCCCAATCACCTGTTTATCTAGATGGAGAGGATCTGATGCTGTCTTCTGGCCTTTCTACACACCTGCACATGCACATGTGTGTCTACACAGACACACACACACACACAATTAACACAGCGACAACAAAGATGAAACACCACACCGAGATAAGATTTATGTCATTGGAGGAAAAGAGATGCCCCAGAGTGAAGAGACCAGGAGGCCAAGTGACCAGGTTGTTAAAGCAGCAGGTTGAAATGAACTGCAAACCAAATAGATCTACTGAGTGGTCAGGCTAGCTGTAGTTGAGTTCCAGGCTGGGGACCAGTTTCACCCGCAGGGTCTGTTGACTTCCTGTGGAATTCCTTGTGTTTGGTGTGTGCTGTGGTTTGGATGGGAATTGTGTTCCTATAGGTTGAAGGCTGGTTCCCACTTCAGAAGTGATTGGATTTGGAAAGTTCTGACCTCATCAATGGATCAGCCTACGGATAGGCTCATCGGATGGTTTGATGGCATTGTTGGTAGATGAGACAAACTAGGAGAGCTTAGCTAGGAGAAGTAGGTCACTGGAATTGTCTTTGAAGGTTGTTTTAGATTCTTCTTATCCGTCTCTGTCTCTTTCTGCTGGCTGCCATAGTTGCGTGGCTTTTCTAATGTCATGCCCTTCTGCTGTGATAAACATATCACACACCCCAGAAACATGGAGTCAAAACTGTGAGCCAATTGTCTCTTTCCTCCTTTACACTGTTTTCTCAGCTGTTTTTGTCATAGTGTGGAAAAGTTGACCCGCGCAAGGTGTGCTCTTGAGTAACAACATGATTGTGTAAGACTGGGAACGTGGAATTGGGCCCTGCTTCATTAATAGTCTGCATTGTCCCTCATTTAGGGCTGCAAAGTTGTTGGTGCCGCAGGGTCTGATGAGAAGGTTAACTATCTTAAGAAGCTCGGATTCGATGTTGCCTTTAACTACAAGACAGTAAAGTCTTTGGAAGAAGCATTGAGAACGGCTTCTCCTGATGGTTATGATTGCTATTTTGACAATGTAAGTACAATCTGAGCTTACCTGATTTACCAATAATGTATTACATAAAGGAGCATCTTTCTAAAGTTTCCATCTAGAATATATGAATCAAGTACACTCTTTATGGGGAAAGATTTGTTAAGGTATACAGACCATGGAATTCATTCATTTTAAACTGCATAGCCAGACATAGTAGCTATGCCTATAATGCCAACACTCATGAGGCTGATAAAGGAGGATAGCAGGCTCAAGGCAAGCCTGGGCTTTCTAATGTTACCTTGGCCCCATGTCGAGCACTGAATAAATAAATAAACAAACAAACAAATAAACCCACTGTAAAATTTTAGCCTAAGGATGTAACTCAACAATAGGGCTTGTTGCCTGCCATGTACACAGCCCTGCATCCAGTCCCTGCACTGTAAATGAAAGAAAGTTCAGATCTTAACCATTTTTAGTATCAAACTGTCTTTGTGACCACAGTTGTTGAATATTTATCACTTCCCAAAGAAACATTAATCCTCAGTTACGTCTTCTCTCCTCAAAAATGTGTTCTTTTTGTGACTGGCTTTTTTCACTTAGCAAAAACGATTCCAGATCATCCGTGTTATAGTAGATATTCATACTTGGTTTTTTTCTAATGAGTGAATGATATTTCATTGTATGGATATACTACAGTTTGCACCTGTTTATCAGTCGACGGGTGTCTGATTTTTCACTGTGTAATGCTACTGTGAACATTCACACACAAATTTTTGTTTGAATTCATTTTCATTTCTCTTGGATATTCATCTATGAGTAGAATTGCTAGGTCATATGGAAACTTCATGTTTACATTTTGTGGAATTGCCAATGTATTTCTGCAAAATAACTACACTGTCATACATTCCTACCAGTAGTCTCAAAGGGCTAGAATTTTTCCATAGCTTTAATGTTACCTGGAATGACTGGCTTTCTTCTTCTTCTTCTTCTTCTTCTTCTTCTTCTTCTTCTTCTTCTTCTTCTTCCTCCTCCTCCTCCTCCTCCTCCTCCTCCTCCGCCTCCTCCTCCTCCTCTTCTTCTTCCTCCTCCTCCTCCTCCTCCTCCTCCTCCTCTTCTTCTTCTTCTCCTTCTCCTCCTCCCTTTCTTTCTTTCTTTCTTTCTTTCTTTCTTTCTTTCTTTCTTTCTTTTGCCATGATAGGGTTTCTCTGTGTAGCTTTGGAGCCTGTCCTGGAACTCAACCTGTAGACCAGGCTGACCTCGAACTCACAGAGATCCACCTGCCTCTGCTTCCTGAGGGTTGGAATTAAAGGCATGCGCCACCACTGCCTGCCTTGTGACTGGTTTTCTTATATCCACCTTACTCTGGTTGAAGTGATTTCAGTATGATTTTGATTTACATTTCCTTGTGACAAATGACACTGAAGACATACTCATGGACATACATGTATCATGTTTGGGGACATGTGTATAGAACTTTGGCCTAGTTCTCAACTAGATTATCAGTTCTTTATATATGAGTACGCGTCTCTTCATTGCAGTTAAATTTCATTATTGCAGTAGCTGTGTTCTGTAAAGTAACCAGGAACATTGAGCTATGGCTCCTAGGCAAAATGTCTACACGTGAACATTTCTCGTGTGGATTATAATCTTTAATCCTAATCCCCCTTCTTTGTTGTTTATTTACTTTATTTTACAAAGGAGAAATGAGGTTTGGATTGTTATACTAAACTGAAGTCTTAAGTAACTTGCCCTCATTATGTAGCTGGGAATAACCTCAATTTTCTGATCCTTTTGCCTCTACCTCTTAGAAATGTTCCTTTCTGATATGTATTTCAGCCGCAATCACTGCAACTACTGTATTGATTTAATCAATTTTGTTGATTCTCCTTAGTGGATTTTTACCATTATTTAACGTGTTATGTTTTTTGTTTGTTTTCTGGCCGTCTGTTTAGGTAGGCGGAGAGTTTTCAAACACAGTTATAGCCCAGATGAAGACGTTTGGGAGAATTGCCATCTGTGGGGCCATCTCTCAGTACAACCTCACCGGTCCACGTTCACAAGGTATTATGCTCCTGCATGTAGGAGGACTGGACAGATTCATAGACACGGGGATGAGGCGGGGGTCGTTGTCATGTCTTCACAGGTGTGGGTGGGCCTTGCCTTCTAGAGCAGCAGGACATCTGTGCTTGATGGGGTCTGGCAATTTCCCCTTAAAGAGAAAAAGGCCTGGCTGTTCCCGCCTTCCGGGCACACACGCTCTTTGATTGGCTTCTTTCATTTCTCTTGTGCTCTCCATCTCACTCTTCCTCACTTTTCTATACTGAAATCCCTCCCTCCCTCTCCTTCATACTCCCAGGGGTCCAAAAGCAGTGTGAGGTGAGAGCCCTATGCTCTTTGCTTCTGTGTTGTGTGATCCTGTGTGAGCCTCTGTTACAAGATGAATGGCTGACACACGACAGAGCCCAGTGCTTCGACTCCTCACATCTGGTCTTCTCTCTGTTATCGGGATGATAGATTTAGTTGAGGCTCCTGAGGAAGAAGAAGAAGAAGAAAAAGGAATCTTTGGGTCTCTAATCAGGATATGGGTGACCATAGAACAACTGCTTACTTCTTCAATCCTGGGCTTGATTTGTGAATAAAATCCCATAGTACTGATTGCCAGCAGAACTGCCTAGAGATGGGGGAGCTTAGAACAGTGGGGCTGAAGACAGACTGATTGCAGATTCCCTCATGAGTTATGGAAAATCAAAACACTACCTTCTCCAGCCAGGAAACTCCAGATTTGCTTGGCAATCTCATTGATAGGGACACCCTCATCCCACACATCTTCTTTTGCAATTGATGCTAAGATGGAATCTTGGGAAAGCATCTGACCGTCAACCATTTTAATCAGATGGGATTCTGCCTTGCTTCTGAGGCCAGGAATTCTAGCACATTCCAGTGTCAGTATAGCTCAGAGACAAGTCAGTATTTCTACCAACTTACAACCATACTTGCTTTGTTGCACCCAAAAGAAACCAATGTTCCTGTTGGGGAACTGAGCTCAGCAACAGTATTTCAGTCTCTTCCAAGATGAGAAAATGAAAGTTCTATGTGGGTGGTGTGTGCACATACGTGTGGGTATGTATGGAGGTCAGAGGTCAACCTTACTTCCCAGTTGCTCTCCATTTTGACCTTTTGAGACTATTGTCTCTCACTGAAGCTGGAACCCATCAATTCATCTAGATGGCTGGCCGATGACTTCAAGGGATCCTTCTACTTGGTGTTATAAATTCGCATTGCTGTGCCTAGCTTTTACATGGGTGCCAGGGATCTGAACTCTTATTCTCGTGTCGAATGGCAATCATTTTACTGACTGAGCCAAATCTCCCTAGCCCAGGCTGGACCTTTAACTCTAAGGGAAATAAGGTTGCTGTGGGCCTGTTGAATAAGCGCCATGCTGCGGGACGGTCTGAGCATGGGCAGCGTTATGACTTAAAGCATTTGTTCTGAGGCACATCCCAGCATTTATATATGTCCCGCATCATGTGCCAATTTCTATTGGTTCAAGACAAGGCTCCAGTGAGTGGAGACTTCAGCCTTAAGTTGCACCAGTCGTCCAAGACACCAAAGATGCCTTGCTTCCGTTCTCCTGACCTTGCCATTCCATTAGCCCACTTCCACTGACTCTCGGAGAGTGTGTAACTCCAACCCTGCACCATGCCTCAGCTGCTGGCTCCCAGGCAGCCAGTGTGACTTCTCTCTTCCTGCTCTCTGTTTCCCTGTGGAGCGTATATACTCATGGGCTCTGGGGCTTGGCGTGCGGATGTCTCTGGGGCCATTCTTCTCCCCACCACTTGGTTAGTGCTGGCCCTGTGGATCAGGAAGGAGCGGAGGAAACAGAATGGGGAGGGGGTGCTTGGAGAGCCGAGAGAGTGTGTCTCACTGTGGACATGTCCCGGGACCCTGTGACTATGAATGAATCCTCCTTTTCCAGGCCCACCCCCAGAGGCTGTGATTTATCAGCAACTCCGCATGGAGGGGTTCCTCGTTACCCGCTGGCAGGGAGATGTCCGCCAGAAGGCTCTGATAGACCTGATGAATTGGGTCTCAGAGGTAAGGGGACCCAGCCACTCCCACTGCCCACCAGCTCCCACAGACTTTTGCAACTCACAACCCTCAGTCCTTCAATCCCCCCCTTTTAAGATTTATTAGTCATGTATTTTATATATCTGAGTGCTCTGTCTTCACGCATGTCAGAAGAAGGAATCTGATCCCACTACAGATGGTTGTTGGCAGCGACCATGTGGTGGCTGGGAATTGAACTCAGGACCTCTGGAAGAGCAGCCAAGTGCTCTTAACCGCTGAGCCATCTCTCCAGCCCCCAGTTCTTCACTTTTTTGTTTCTTCTTGTCTTTTGGATCAGTGTTTTCAGTTATAAACATTCTTTCCTAATCTTACAAAGGAAAATAAATTTCTTTAAATTTTTGTTTGGGGGTTGAGGGTGAAGGCTGTAATGGAATAAGTGTGTTATTAAAATTTCACTAGTATTTGCGTTAGTTTCTAGGGCTGCCGTCACAAAGCACCACAGGATGGGTGGCTCAGGCAACAGAAATTCGTTCTAGAGGCTGCTCACCTGAGAGCAAAGTACCAGCGGGTTCTCGCTTTTTCAGAGGTTTTTCTTCCTATATCGTCTTACGGTCTTCTCTGGGTGTGTCTGCCTTAGTTTCAAAAGGGACACCAGTTCTGCTTGCTCATGACATGCTCATATGACCTCATTATGTTTTAATTATGTCTTTACACTGTCTCTCTTCTAAGTAACTGGTAACGCGCAGGGTGAACCTTGGTTAGAAGGGAGAACGAAGTGTAATTTCCATGGTATTTATGTTTCTGAACAAGCCCCACCTCCTCCAGTCTTACTTGAGGTGTGGTGTTTCCCATCATTGGGCTACTAGATATGAGAAAAACGGCATCTGTTGAGGGTGTACCTTTCTTTTTCTCTCTCTTCTGAGATCATCACATTGTTAAACCTTTCTGTGCAGGGTACACAGGAATCGCTTTATTGTTGCCTGTTTGTTAACATTTACCCTGAGAGTGCGCTGTGATTGTGTTGTGTGTAACCTGTCCATAGATCTTGTTGTCCATAGATAAGAGGGCCGTCATCTCAGAATTCCAAGATTCTTCTTGTATACCTGATAAAATTGTTGCTAGGATGGGAAGAGGACATCATTTGGAAAATGAAATCAACCCATGATTGTTGTTTTGATGCAGGGTAAAATCCAGTACCACGAATACATCCACGAAGGATTTGAGAAGATGCCAGCGACGTTCATGGGAATGTTGAAAGGAGAAAATTTGGGGAAGGCAATAGTGAAAGCATGAAGAAAAAAATGACATAAGCATCATCACTGGAGGGTTAGGTTGTTTTTAATCATTTGGTACAAATGTACACTGCCTTATGTAAGAAATAACTGCAAGGAATTTGACCTATCTAATAAAATACCTGTGTGATTTTTTAAAAATCTATGATAGAGAATGAAAATCTCCTGACAAACAAAAAGAAGGCATGTTTCTGCCTAGTTCATCTCCTCCTAGGTGATTGTAAGAAATAATGGCTTTGGTGTCTGTTCTAATTTTCTTTTCTGTTGCTGCAACAAAAGCAATTTAAGTGAGGAAAAGGTTTACTTGGCTTACTCTTTCTGGTTACTGCCTGTCAGTGAGAGAAATTAGGGGAGGAAGCTGTAAGTAGGCCTGCTTTGTATTCCGTTAGCTTTGTTTCTAACCAGGGAACTCACAGCCAGGGCCACTTGCTAGCTAGCGCATGCAGGCTGGTGCTCAGCTAACTTTCCTGTACAGTCCACCATCCACTGCCTAGGAGATGGCACCTCCCACAGTGGGCTTAGCCTAGGAGATGGTACCTCCCACAGTGGGCTTAGCCTAGGAGATGGTACCTCCCACAGTGGGCTTAGCCTACTACATCAATGAGTAATAAAGAGGCTTCCACAGACCTGTCTACAGGCCAGTTTGATTGAAGCAGTTGTCAAGATCAACATTCAAGCTAACTGGAGCAGTGTCCAAAAGCTTAAAGTGACCTAACTGCATGCAGAAATTGATGAATTTGATGGTGTAAGATTTCTACCCCAATTGCATATAATACTCGATACTTATGAAACCAGAAGGAAAACAAAACCGAACACACTGCTGCTATCTGGAGGTCTCGGTGCCAGCCTACGCTGGTGTGCTGTGTAGTGAGGCTAATGCCACTTACCATACCAAGGAAGGAACTGAGAAGTGTTAGACTGGGCAAGAGACAAACCTTATATTGTACACTGGTGCTTTTTGAATCCTGAACATTCTGGAAAAACTTGGTTGACAAATAAAATTAAAAACTGGAATTCCCTGCTTTTGTCTCTCTCACTCTGAAGTTTTGAGACAGAGCTTCTCTGTACAGCCCTGGATATCCTAGAACTCTGTAGACAAGACTGGCCTCAAACTCAGATACCTGCCCGCCTCTGCCACCCAAGTGCTGGGAATAAAGGCATACGCTACCACACCTGGCTGCATCTTCTCTTATCAAGCCATTTGGTCCTAAAGACAACAGTTGGGACAAGAGGTGCCTGCCTTTGGGGGTTGGAGTAGAGAAGCCCCATGTGCCAGAGCACACTGAACTTATTGATGGAGGTCAGCTGCCTGGCATACGGAGTCAAAGAGTAGAGTGGGATGGGCTGGGAGTGAACTGTGGCTTAGTGAAGAAACCTGGAATCCTAAGTCAAGTGATTGAACAAAATGCAGAGGTCTTCTTGGGTCAGTGCGGCTCTCAGTGTCTAAGCAGGGTTGCAGTTGGGGAGCATGGCGTCATGAAGGTTGCCAGAGTCAAAGCAGAGTGAGGATGGCATTTGAACAAGAGGGTGGCCTAGTGTGAGGACTCAGAGACAGTAGTACAAGGAGAGTGCCATACACAAAAGCAGCCGAGTTAAAGAATTCAGGCAGCCTATGCAGAGTGTCACCCTTGGGGTGTCCCAGCAGGAGATGTGTGGTCCCAAGGAGGATGAGGAGAGTGTCCACAGGAAAATGAAGGACCTGGTATAGGCAGCTGATATTAGGTCGTGCATGAGACAGCTGACGTGGAGGGCATATCCAGAGTGGAGCCACTGTGTGGCTTCGGGGCCTAATGGGAGCTGTAGACGCCAGCAAGGCAAGGAAGACTGCACTATAGAGTAGTGGACGTCCTGACGGCAGAGGGAGAGTTGGATGGCGTGGAGGGAGGGGCGCCTGCACGAGAGGGAGTAGTAGCGACGCGAGATGGTTCCATATAGGGCTGGTCAAATAAGGACAATGGATACTAGACTGTCGCATAAGGGCTTTATGAGCTGGGGAGATGCTCAGGGGGTAAACTGTGCTTAGAGCAAGTGTGAGAACTTGGAGCCCCAGAACCTACTTAAAAGCCAGGTAAGCGTGTTGGCCCATGTGTAACCCCAACATTGCAAGAGGTAGAGAAATGGGATCCCCAGAGCAAGCCCTCAGTCCCCTCAAATGTTAAAAATATCCCAGGACACCCCTCTGTAGTGCCCTGGAGCACCTCATCACCCTGGTATGACCAGTGGCTCTAAGTTGTTTCTAGGCTGTTGGGAGCCAAGGAAGATTTGATTGAATGTAGAAAGTTCAGATGGAGTCTTGTATGTGTATTGTCTGACGTGGGCATGGCCACGTCAAGGACCAAGGTGCCTCAGACCCAGAGGGGTAGTGAAGCTTTCCCTGGCGAGGTCCAGAGGTATGGCAAAGCCTTTCTCCAGTCCACATGTGAACGGTGGCAGTCTGTGCAGGTACGAGTATCTATGATTTATTAACCAGTGTGTCCAAACCCTAGCAATTGCTGCTTCTTCCTGCCAGATGAGGGCAACCAGAAACTGGTGGCCTAGAGACTAGCTAACCTCTCCCCTCTCTGCTGCACAGTATAAGCATGCCGAGATTCTCGGGTGTTGGGGTGGCTGGCGGTGCTCCAGCAGAGCCATCATGGCCAGCTGAATCCAGCTTTTCTGTACCCATCTATTCATTCTTCAGTCTCCCCCTCCCCCCATACAGGTTTCCAGGACTATGGTGAGCAGGACGCAGCACTAAGTCAGAGTTGAAAAGCACTGGCCATTAGTATGTCTCCTTTTCCTTGCCTCTTGGAACTTAGTGGTCTTGTGGTCCAGACGGAAATGGTGGCAAAACGTTGCAACGCAGCAACGTACAGAAGGTTGGCCTGGGAAATCATCCTCTACTGAACCAAGCGGCTGGCTGCCTTCTCTGGCTAACATACACGAATGGGAAAAAAATAAATAAATAAAGTCAGTGAAATAATTCCTAATGAAATTCTGCTATACTCATAGATTGGTGCCTAGCCCAAACATCATCGGGGAGGCGCATCATCCAGCAACTGATGGGCACAGATGCTGAGACCCATAGCCAAGCATTGGGCAGATCTCAGGGAATCCTGTGGAGGAGGGGGAGGAAGGATTGTAGGACCAGTGGTCTCAAGAGCACCATAATAGAACTCACAGAACCAACTAGCCTGGGCTCACTGGGGCTCACAGAGATTGAACCGACAAACAGGGAACCTGCATGGGACTGGCCAAGGCCTTCTGCATATGTTACAGTTGTGCAGCTTAGTCTTCTTATGGGACTCCTAACAGTGAGCAGGGGCTGTCTCTGACTCTGTTGCCTGCTTTGAGACCCATTCCTCCTATCAGATTGATTGCCTTATCCAGCCTTAATAGAAGAGATGCCTAGTCTCGCTGCAACTTGATATACCATGGCTGTCTTATATCCATAGGAGGCCTGCCTGTATCTGAAGAGAAACAGTGGAGGAGTGGACATTGTGGGGGGAGGAGAGGTGGAGGGAGGAACTGGGAAGAGGGAAAATTTTTCTCCAACTTTACTGTCCAATTTGGTAACTAGTGGAGGCTACTGAGAACTAGAAATATGCATGGTACTTCTTTCAAAAATTAAAATCTAGGGCTATTGAGATGGCTTAGCAGATAAGGGGACCTATTCCCAAGACTGACAACCTATGTTTGATCCCTGGAAAGCACATGGTAGAGGGAGAAAATCAAATATCATAATTGCCTTCTTACTTCCACACAACATGACAGGTATGTTCATGTATACACAAAAATAAATTATTTTTAATTTTTCAAGACAGGGTTTCTCTGTAGCTTTGGAGCCTGTCCTGGAGCTAGCTCTTGTAGACCAGGCTGTCCTCAAACTCACAGAGATCCTCCTGCCTCTGCCTCCCGAGTGCTGGGATTAAAGGTTCCACACAAGTAAATTTTAAGAGTTTAAAAAAGTTAAAAACCAAACCAGGGCCAGGCGGTGGTGGCAGATGCCTTTGATCCCAGCACTTGGGAGACAGAGGCAGTCGGATCTCTGTGAGTTTGAGGACAGCCTAGTCTACAGAGAAAGTTCCCACACAACCAGGGCAGTTATTCAGAGAAACTCTGTCTCAGGGAAAAAAAAAACAAAACCAATCAACCAACCAACCAACTAAGCAAACAAACAGACAAACAAAACCCAAAGCAGGATTATTCTGTATTAAATACAACTTTATTTAGTAGAACTATGATTCACTTTACTGCACCGTACAGGATGCTGTTAGCAGGGCAGAGGAGCATGCGTTTTTCAGTGACACACAAGTACGTCACCAACCTAGGCAGCATTGATAAAACAGATGATAGCTGTCTCTGTACAGATGGACTATCATAATGCATTATGCAGATAGCACGAGTTTGAGCATTACGTGTATAATTCATAGCCACAAACCAAGGTGCTTCTCACTGGAATTGTGATTACTCTCTAGGTAAAAATACATGGAAAAATAGCTCAAGTCTAGTTAAAGGCAAATTTCTAAGGCAGAATTCAGTGCAGACACAGAAGCTCTTACTGTAAGTGGCACAGGAGGGAAAGGGGACTAAAAGAAGGCCCAGTGCGTGGTCACTGGCAAAGGTCAGTCGCATTTACAGCGGCAGCAGCAGACACAAAAGCTAGCGAGTTCAAGTATTAAAGATAACACAGTAGGCAATACTGAAGACGATATTCCAGATCTATATCTCTTTTCAACTTAGTAAAAAACAATTCACAAAACCAGCTAAATAAACTAAATTTCTAACCAAAATCCCTTTAACAACATTTTAACACGTTTCAGATTCTAAGTGTGTCAGTTATAAAGTAGCTTGGCTCTTGCACATGCACACACGTGCAAAAACTAGAACTATGGGTAGATAAAAGTAAAGCCAACTACTATAATTCACTCAAAAACTTTGGGGAAAAAAATGACAGCTTGAAAAAAAGTAAAGCCAACTACTATAATTCACTCAAAAACTTTGGAAAAAAAAAAGACAGCTTGAAAAATATCCACAGAAACAGAAAACACTACACCATTTAACAATTTTGCTCAGGGTAAACATGAGCAAATTACATATTTCTCACAGAATATATACATTTCTATTATCAAAAATCAAGTGACTGAAAATTTGAAAAATTTCAAGTATTTTTTCGTTTTAAATGATCCGTGTAAGACACTGACCAAGGAAAACTTTGATTGTATTGTCTCAAAGAACACCAAAATTTTCAAAGAGAAGCCAATTCATTGCCTCAGATCTCAAACTTCTGATTTATTAAACATGTTTTTTTTTTCATCTGTTAGGGAATGTCAGCTAAGCAGAAAGATTAGTTTCTCTCAAGAAGATGAAATTGTAGCTGAGTTGAAAGACCAGGTAGGTCATCATTTTCAGGCAAGAGATAGCTTCTGCCTCGTTGCTTCATTTCCGGGTCTGATTTGAGCTGTAAGTGTTCTTACTCAGCTTTTGAAAGCAGACATCTGCTCAAGTGTTTCAGTACGCACATGCAGGTGACTAGGTTATGGAGCCAACGAGACCGAGCACATGTAACGACATTGTGTTCTTTTTTATCAATAGTAACTGGATGATGTAAGAGTTTAAGATATTCTGTGCTAGCAAATCAAGCGGAAAATTTCCTTGAATGCCTGCAAATATGACATGCCGAGTGAGATAACGCAGACACACAAAAACACACACTGCGTCATTACTTATGTCAGGGACTAACAAGAGCCAGATGTGTAAAGGAAGTAGAATTGTGAGGACCAGGAGCTTGGGAGAAAAGCAGACAGACAATACACGCTCAGTGAGTTGAGTGTGGGAGGATGCAAAAGCGCTGGGGATGAAGGTCAACTGCAAATGTGCAACACAGATCACTCAACCGGAAACATCAGGATGGTTCACTTTACGGTATGCCTAGTTTACATCAGAAGCAATTCTAAAGTAAAAAGAATAAAGCAAATTTACGGACAGGGGCTTTGCCCTATCCTGTGCTCAAAAGAAATTTCTATATAGAAACTCACTATAAGTCGTTCTAAAGAACAAGGACTTTGTTTTAAAATGTGTCATGGAGTTGATGAAAATACTTATCTCTATAAACAGAAATGCCAAGTAAAGCTTTAAAAAGCAATGCTATGAGGAGTCATAATTATCAACTTAAAGCCTTTAGATGACCTGACCATCTAAAAACAGATTTGAGTATGTGGGTGCTAGGCCAGATTGAATGCCTTTCAGGCTAAAATATTAGTTGTTGATAAACATTCTGCAGTGGGGTTTATAGTTTCCTTCTAGTACACGGTGATAGAAAGTTCATGCTGGAGAAGGGACCGTATGTAGATGAAGGTCATGCTGGAAAAGGGATGTATGTCGATGAAGAACTTGTTATAACTCAACCATCCTGACTTTTGAATAGCTAAGGCATTTGAAGAACTCAGAGACACGTGAAAGGCTGAGGAATGGGCACATGGTGACATTAGTCGTCAGGAAATGCAAGCTAAAAGCATATGGAAATGCCACTTCACCAGGATGATGAAGAGTTTTTAAAGATTGAGCACAGAAGGAAAGAAAACGGAACATTCACATATGACTGGCCAGAATTTAAAATGACGCAGTCACACTGGAAAACAATTTGGTAATTTCCTAAGAAGTTAAACAGAAATTTACATTTTTAAAGTTTTTACAGAAACTCTACCTATAGATGTCTACCAAGAAAAACAATCAACATTAATGTCTACACCAACTTTCACCCTATGTTCACAGTGTTGTTCCTAGCAGCCAGCTGCCTAAGGAGAAAGAAGAGAATATGTTCTCACAGGTAATGGATGAAGTATCCACGTGATAGACTATCAAATCTAACAACAAACAACCAGCAAATAACATTTTAACAGAAAGAAATCACATAGGCTATAACATGCATAAACTTAAAAATGCGATGTCAACGGGAAACAAAGACCAATCAATATAAAATGACTAGAAAAGGCCATCCGTAAATACACACACTAAATAAAGGCAGCTTAGTAGTTACCTGGGGTCCGAGATGAGAGTGGGAATTATGTATAAATGGATGGATCCAACAGGTACTCTTATTAGCGTGATGTTCTGAACAATGGATTATGGTAACAAATGTGCACTTCAGTAGAACTGAAGAAAGCTCACTGGATTGCACATCTTGATTTTAAGCATATGTGTTCCATATTTTAATGAAGTTGTAAAAAAAAAGTTTTGTTTCTAATCCCCAACTGAGGTTGGGATAAAAATAGCTTCTTGTGAAATTCCCTAGAACACACTGGAAGAGATCTCTTTCTCAAGAGTTGTTTTTATGTATTAATTTTTTTCAATAAAATGTATCATTTCTGAAAATTGTTAAGCGCATATCTTATATGGTTCTTAAAAGCCAAATTCCTTTGATGTCAGGAATGTGTTTACTTGGTCCATTTGGTAACAGCTATACTGATCAATTTATCACAAAATAATGTCTGATTTTCTTTTCGACTTGGGATAAGGAGGGAGGAGCCACCCACAAGAAACCAAAAACCTTACACGCAGAGGTAGCACTTCAAACCTAAGCACATCGCAGATATCCCTGAGTCTCGGATCAGCACTGCAGATCCTTTTACCCGAAAAACCAGAGCTCTGGTTTAGTTCTCGCTCTAGGAATTGCCTCAAATTTCAACTTCTATACCACAATCAAGTCCCAAGACCCAAACTAACTCATTCAGAGTCTTGATTTCCTTCCTCAGAAGTTAAGATTCCATCGGCTCATCAATACTCATATAGTCCCTTCCATGAAGTCTCACTTTACAAAAAAAAGTGTCAAGTAGAACTTACTTCTGAGTTCTTTTCCTGACTTTTACTTGTTCTCAATTGGGGGGGGTCTCCCTTGAGATTTTAGTGTATGTATTATCTAAATGACAGAGTAAAAAAATACCACAAGGCTGCAGTAGGAAAGCCAGGTATAAGAGAAACCTGGCATTTCAACTGGCAACCACACCTGGGACAGCTGAGTAGTCCATGGACATAGGCTAATGTGGTCAGCTCCTATGCATTTTGAAAGACAAACTCTGCTTCCCTTAAAATGCAAAACTCCTTATTTCTAAAGAGTAAAATCTGTGTATGTACATACATGCCCCATCCTACAAACCAACTAAAACATGTCTAAGGACCCAACCTGATCCAATCTACCATCTTGTGACTTTTGCGTACAGAATTCTTAAACACTGTGGTGCAGGAGGCTGTGCTCGCTGCAGGGGGAAATATCCAACCAAAACAATTGTTTCTGGTTTTTCTCTTCAGACCATTACTTTCATGGTGGAGCTGGCTCAGGTGCAAGCTCTCTGAATTTCCAATCCACCGAGGCAAAACTCAAAAGATAAGCAGACTGGGGTGATTTGTGCAAATTCGAACATTCCCTGAAAGCAAACTTCGCTGAGCTTCCCTGAATCGTTCTATCACATTCGAGGGACCCTACATCAAACACTCCACATTCTCACCAATCTAGAAGTACACCACCCTGTGAGAGAGTGTCTACCAGACATGATGAGTCCAATGAACCAAACATGTTCAAGTTATTTTCTGCAGTATCAGAATATCAGATAAAAAGAAAACTTAGCCATCATTAATACCATCTCTTCACTCTACTGGTAAAGAAACGAAGACTCAGAAGGTCTAAGTGACTTCTTTAGGCAACACAGTGGCTGGTTGGCAAACTGGGATAGAGCCTAGGTTGTTAAGTTCTTTTCCATTCTACTGTATGCTGTGGAAGGAAGCCAAGGAGAGACATCCGTGAAGAAAAGAGTCTTTCGAAGTTTGCCTTGTCAGAATTAGTTCAGTTCACATGCTTTCTTCAGGTCAATATAATTTTATCAGCTCTAATCAAAACTGGCCACCCTCAAGAAGAGGGACCAAAGGGGAAGAAGGCTACTCCTAGTTGTGAACCAACCCACTGAAGCTGAAGCTTCTAATCAATGCTGTGGGCAGTTTACATGACAAGGTTTTAAATAAGATCACAACCGGAACTAGCCTCCCCCCTCCCCCCACATACTACATTCCCAGAATTACTCAGTACAGCAATGTTTAAGACTGGCTGCCCGACTTTTACATTTCTTACCACATTTTTTACATTCATGTTTTGTATGTGTTTTCAGATGTTCAACGAGGATTGTGCTCCTAGTAAAGGCGGCGCCACAGAAATCACATTTGTAGGGCTTCTCTCCGGTATGACTTCGGAGATGCAAATTAAGAGATGAGCTCTGTCTGAATGTCTTCCCACACTCTTTACATTTGTATGGCTTTTCACCGGTGTGACATCTCAAATGGCGGCCGAGGCGGGAGTGAGTAGGGAAGGCCTTATCGCAGTGGGTACATTTGTAGGGTTTTTCTCCTGCGTGAAGTCTTTGATGATAGAGGATAGTACTAAAAAGGCTAAAGGATGAGCCGCAATCCTTGCACACATATGGTTTCTCGCCAGTGTGGATTCTCTGATGTCGAGTAAGGCAAGAATTCTGTCTGAAGGCTTTTCCACACTCCTTACATTTGTAGGGCTTCTCTCCGGTGTGTATCCTCTGATGTTTTGAAAGAGAGGAGCTAAGCGTGAAGGATTTCCCGCACTCCTTACACGTGTATGGTTTCTCTCCGGTGTGGATTCTCTGGTGTTGAAAAAATGACGAGTTGTCATTGAAGGATCTCCCACAGTGTTTACATACATAGGGCTTTTCTCCTGTGTGGATCCTTTGATGAATCTCGAGAACTTGTAAACCAACAAAGTATTTTCCACATTCATCACACTTGTACCGCTTTCCTTTCTCGTCTCGTTTTTTATGGGATTTAGATGGCCGAGGTTTGTGAGCTTCTCTACATTCAGTGCACATGGAGCGTTGTGAACTATTGCCAAGGGCTTTCCCACATTTCCTGCACTTACTGGGCTCTTCAGGTGCAGGCCCTTTGTCTTTATTTGACGTTTCCCCTTGAAATAAATTCTTCTGGCATTTTTCACATTGTGAGCTTTTACTATGATACCATGAGTTTGGAGTGAAGGCTACGCCACACTTACTACACTTGTAGGTCTTGCTCAACGAGCCAATTCTCGGCTGTCTCTTATGTTTGGTATGAGATGAAGAGTAAACCAAGCCTTTCTCGCTTCCGCTGCATTTCCGTGACTTTTCTGTACCGTGTTCTTTGCGGGTCACAAGATCTGAGTGGAAGGTGAAGGACTTCTTCCCTTCCTTGGACCCATGAGACTTCTTTGTTAAGTAGGTTCCTCGATGTTTAGCTGCGTCTGAAGCTTGTTTCAAATTCTTTCCAGAGGGAGTCTTTTTTGAGTCAGAATCTTTACTCTGATGGCTACTCTGCTTGCTATGATCTTTTTTGGACTTGCCATATCGTTTCTGGAATTCTGCCTTCAAGCCATAACCATTATCACTAAAGCAGTAGTCTATTGTCTTCTCTAAAGTGAGGTCTTCCAGAAAAGCATCCAATTCACGTCTAGACTCACCCTCTAAAAGAGATAACAAAGCAAGTATTTCCATTTGCAATAAAGGTAGCTGCTATATTTAGGGCTGACCTAGGAACACAGTAATACTTTTAAGAGACGAGCTAAACACCAAACAGTTTATAGTAAAAAAGAGATATGGCTTAGATAGCTATCAATTACAGCTTTATAAAATAGGCAAGAGATAAGCGATACAGGAAAGCAAGATGAACATAGAGGCCAGGGAAAATACTGTGGGAAAAGAAAAGCTTGTGCTTCATGTGAGGAAGGTTGCAGGTTTTCACTCTTCTTTCCAATTTCTGTACCACAGTCGAATCTATTTCTACTTATTCTCCATACCCAAACTTTATCTTCATGTCCTTCCCAAATGTCCGGCTCCACAATAAGGACCTCACTTGCATGGTTTTACTGTCTCGTCACAACAACCCAATGAAGTACATCTTGTATTGTACTTTATGGACATTCGCAATGGGGCACACAGTGTCAGAAGTTTGCTCAGAGTCACATACATTGTAAGCAGTAGAAGCTAGATTTTAAATTCTTTTTATTTTTATTTTGTACGAGTGTTCTGCCTGCATGTATGTCTGTGCACTACACGCATGCTGTGTTTGTGAAGGCCAGAAAACTGAGCTACAGGTCAAACAATTTGTAATTAATAGAAGCTTTTGTGTGAATATTTGGGACTCGGTGGTTGGGACAGAAAAGCTCTGCCTTCATTTACAAGGCTGATTAAAATAAATTCTTCAGAAAATTCAAATTTTTTAAAACTAAAGGTACTAATATATGTAATGGCATCTTTATATTCAACATATTAGATAGTTATTTTTAAATTTTAGGAAGATACAGAGAAAGATAAAGGAAAAACCTAATCCCTTGAAGAGTAACTTAATAAAAACTAATATATATATTAACATTAATGTTTCTAGATGTTAAAAATCCATAAATATTTAAGCTGTACATTTAGACATATGAGCATTTTACTCACAAAAAATGGAATTATTAGCCGGGCGGTGGTGGCACACGCCTTTAATCCCAGCACTCGGGAGGCAGAGGGAGGCGGATCTCTGTGAGTTCGAGGCCAGCCTGGTCTACAAGAGCTAGTTCCAGGACAGGCACCAAAAACTACAGAGAAACCCTGTCTCGAAAATCAAAAAAAAAAAAAAAATGGAATTATTATACATGTTGACTGCTTGAATTCCCACTTACCTTTCAAGATTAAGTTCAAATACTAATTAAGTTATTGTTCCCTTATATAGATGCTCCTTGATTTACAATCGAATTATGTCTTAGTAAAGCCATGGTAAGCTGAAAACACCCTACGTAAAAATGTATTCAACACACCCAACATGCTCTGGGGCTTTTAAGCATGAGGTTACATAATCACGACTGTGCTGAGCGATGCTGCTACTCAGCCTTGCAAAAGAGTGATCAGATCACACACTGTGAGTCAAGTATAATTCCTACTGGATATGCCTCATTCTGCATCATTAAAGTAAAAAATGAATTCTAAAATGCGCATTGTGAGTCTGGTCTGTAATCCCAGAAACTCCCACAATTCTTTTTATATGCCATTCTTATGGCCTACACTATGTGACTAATGCCCTTGTATGCTAATTGGTCTTTTAAGTGTCCATAGTAATGAGCTTCTCAGATCTGCTGCAGGGAGACTGCCTGCTGCCCCGTCACACACCTCTCACTGTCAATGATGATGCACACAGCCACTCCAGGACCATTTCCGTGAGGTACGGAACCCTCTCATGCTACTGTTGCCCAGGGCCTCCTCTTTGGCCTTGCCTAAATTTGCAAACCATCTTCAGCTTCAAATCCTTTCTCCCCACCTCCTTCCGTTCTCCTCACTCAGAGGTTACACCTGCACTGCGCTCTCACGGTAATCCAAATTCCTTTTCCATTTTTCTTCACTTGATTTCTCTCAAACATCTCCACTTTGGGGAGTCACATCTTTTTGGAGGACCCAAACCAACAGTGTCCCCACTAAAATGAGCATTCCAGGAAGATGAAGGCTCTCTTCTAATCAGTCAGCTTGGTATTCTAGCCTGAGATCCACCCAGCATTTCAAAGGTTTTTTTTGTTCCCCATGGTTTTTATTTCTTTCTTACCTTTTACGAACTCACCTGGTCTGGGGTCTTTTGAGATTTCTTTTTCCAGTACCCTTGGCAACTTAACCCACTTCAGCTGGGAAATCAAATCAAAGTTGGAAACTGGAGAGCCTGCTCAGAGAAAAGGCCAGAAAATGATTGTTTACACATAGAACAAAGATGACCCAGTGTTGCACAGATTCTAATTGTTATTAATAATAAAAACCCAGAGGCAGATAAAGGGGTTAGTGCTAAAGATCAGAGAAGCAGAGGGGCCAGCCACTAGAGAGTTCTTACCTCTACCAATACTCAGTCGGAATGGGCGAGCCTATCTTCAGACTGCATCTCCAGACTGCATTTGTCTCCATCAAGCCTCAGACAGCAGTGCTCCTCAGACCTGTCCCGCCTTGTATTCCTCTCTCTGCCCAGTCACAACACTCCTGTCTGCACCTCCCTAGTGCTGGGATCACCTTTGTGTGGGCTCTGTTTCTCTTTTAGACAGATTCAATCTTGTGTAGCCCAGGGTGGCCTTGAACTCACAGAGATTCCTCTGCCTCTGTCTCTCGAGGCCTAGGATTAAAGGTGTGAGCCACCACTGCCTAACCTCTAGTGGCTTAGCTCTGCACTCTGATCTTCAAGCAAGCTTTATTTGTTAAAACACAAACAAAGTGTAACTACAACCCAGCATTCATATTTAATCTGTTTCTCTAAGGAAGATAAAGATGCCATCAAACACATCAAATACAGAGGAGGAATCCAACGAGGAAGGAGGGGAAGGCATAACACTGAGGACAACAAAATGATGTTGCAACATTTCCAATGCAATGAAGCAACAACTTATTTTAGGAGGAAATATCACATAAAGTACACTTTCAGGCTCCTTTTTTTAGGAATAGTAATGCCAGGTCCTGGATGCCCAGCAGATACAGTTAAAACAGTCATGTGGCATTTATCTTTCAGATAGGTTAACAGGGGCTGAAGAAGCTACCCTCTTAGAAGCTAGATTGCGAAGAGAAGATGTCTTACCCAAAAATTCTAGGTTCCTTAAGTTTTCCAGCAGCATTTCCTTATATAGCTCCCTCTGAGACGGCTCCAGCATCTTCCACTCCCCTCTGGTAAAGTTCACAGACACATCCTCAAATGTTACTGCTTCCTAGAAGATCGAACACAGCAGCTTTGCATTGTATTAGTTCCCAACAGACCTTAAGGATTCAGAGAAGTGGTTAGGATATCAGTGGTCTGAATGCATCCACGTTGTCTCTGTGTGTATGTGTTTTGCTGGGAACCGAACTCAGGGCTTGGTGCATGCTAGGTACGTGCTCTGTCACTGAGCTACACCCTCAACCTTTTTTACTTTGTATTTTGAGATAGTTTCTCACTAAGTTACTTAAATTCTGAACTAGAGTTCCTCCTGCCTCGGCTTCCAGAGTAGCTGGAATTATAGGCCTATGCCCAACCAGGCCTGGTAAATTTTTAATTTTTTTCAAAGAATTTATTCTTTTATGAACATGCATGTTCTGCCTATATGTATGTATGCTGCGTGCATGACTTGTGCTTCTAGAGGTCAGGAGAGGGTGCTGAATCTCTGAAATTGGAATGGAAGACAGATGTAACCTGACATGTTGGAGCTAGGAACTGAATTGGAGTCCTTTGCAAATACAGTCAGTGCTCTTAACCGCTAAGCTCTTAACCACTAAGCAATCCCTCCAGGGCAGGCTTGGAAATTTTTTTAAAGCTTCAAAGCAAGGTTCAGAGTTCATACAAGCATTATAAGAAACACCGAACAAGGGTACTGTACAGTCCTGACCGTTCCCACTTGAGAATCTAAGTATTGACGGTGCAAGACTTCTCTACACTGTTAACTCTGATCAAGTTAACCCTAAAACATTCATTCCTAAGAGTAAAAGGAAAATCATACACTAGGGTCTGAACTGCCATCCCCCATCCTCAAAACTGTAGACTATGAGCTAAGTACAGGTAATAGTTAAATACTCAACAGCAGCTGTTACAGGCTTCAGTCACGTGAAGCAGTGATGCTTGCTATTACTCAGAGCCTGCGCTGGCCTCAAACTCAACAGGATCCGCCTGCTTAGGCATCTCTAGGACTGGATTACAGGTGTGCGCCGGCAAACCAGCCTGAAGCAATATTTCAAAATATATAATCGAAAAGAATCTGGTTTGGTACTATACTCATGCCTACAAGTATGTCACATTCACAAACAAGGATACTAACTCGTGAAAATCACTTTTTTTCCCTTTCTTTCTTTTTTTCCTTTCAGACTGGCTTGGAAACCACACTGGCTTCAAAGCAGCCATCCTGACTTAGTGCTCTGAGTTCTGGGATACAGACGCACCCTACCTATCTTCTATGCGATAGATGCATAGCATCCTCTGTGGGAGGGGAGCAGACAACAGGCTCTCTTTGTACTTGGATTATCAGCTTAGCAGCTTGCCAATGTCCTATCCTGTAACGAATACCAAGGCCCTGTGACTTCAAACAACAGAAACACATTCTCTCTTAGTTTCAGAGGCCAGAAATAGAAGATCAAGGAGCTGCATTCTCTTGAGCCTCTGGGGGAAGAGTCCATTTGCCTCTTCCAGTGTCCCATGGCTGCTAGCATTCCTTGACCTTCCCTGGCTTGTGGCCCAGTCACTCCTAATTGCCTTCCTCTCTCTATAATCAACTCTGTGTTCACATTTCCTCTGCTTCTCTAATAAGGGCATTTGTGACAGTTGTTAGGACCTACCCATAAGATCTGGGATCAACTCTCCATCTTTCTGTTTCTATATTATTTATTATTACTACTTGTACATTTCAAAACAGGGTTTCCCTGGCTGCCTTGAACTCAGACATCTGCCTGTCTCTGCCTCCTGAGTGCTGGTCTGGTTAAATGTGTGCACTGCCCCTGCCCAGCCATCTTTCCAATTTTAGTAGCACCCATTCTTCATCTTAAAACCTGTATCTTAATGACACTTGCAATGACTGCTTTGTCCTCAAGCAAATATTCACACGTTCCAGGCACCAGGAAGCAAACCTACTCTTAACCTCATTTCTGCTCTACTGTAGAACTATTACTTGTTACTATAATTTTTTTCCTAACTGGTAATTACTAGTACTGGAAACTTACTGACCCATAACCAGTTGCTTTTCCCAGCTGCTCCATGAGTTCTAGTCTTAATTGGTTGACCCCCAAGGCTTTGCAAATGGACAGTAACATTGTCTGTTGTAAAATGACTTTGTCTCTCACACTTTAGCACTGACTTCACTTGGTTGACTGCAGTGTTCAGGAAATACCGATCCTTTTGCTTACGGTGTTTTGCTTTTACTTCTATTTTTTAAATCTCCTGATCTACCCAGGTGAAGATGTTCTTTATTATGTTAGGGAAATAAAATTCTGTTTCTACCTGACTCCTTTTGCCAAGAGTTAACATTTGAGTTTTAGTAAATGCTTTCCCCCTCCCCCACAAAATAATTTTGGGATGATGGTGGCACATAAGCATGCTACAGAATGTCTGTGGGGATCAGAGAATAACCTGCTGGAGCTGGTTATCTCCTTCTACCATACAGACACTGGGACAGAATTTAGGTCCATCAGTCTCGGCTACAGGAGCCTTCACACACCCAGCCATCTCACTGGCCTTAAATAATTTTGTCTAGCATCAAAATTATAAACAGCAAGTAAACAGTGACCTACAAGTTCTTTTGGTTGATTCTGTACCATTATGTCCCTCAGTAATAGCTCAGTTTCCACTGAAGAATGAAAACTTACACGTGGCTCCACATTCGGAGGAACAGCCACCATCTCCTCTTCTCCCAAATCCTCCACTTTGCACACGGCAGAATCTTGAGTGCTAAGATCTGGGGAAGGGAAAAGTCAATCTGGTCTTTCAGCTCCATTCTCTGTTCCCAATCTGAACTCACCACAACCCCGTAGCTTGGGTTGGACTAATTTGCTAACATGGCTCACAGAAGAGTTTATTTGCTTATTTTTTTTTAACAAAGATATTAGAAAGAACAGAAATGAATAACCAGATGAAAAAGCTTCATAGGGCAAAGCCTATCGAAAAACGTTCAGAGCTCCTAAACTTGGTCCCAGCCTGGAAACACCCAGATAGAAACTCCCTGCATGCCTTCTTCAGGTATCGCACCCTCCAGGAATCCCCGTATGTTCAGATTTCTGTAAGACAGTATCATCACAGAGGCATGACTAATACCATCACTAGTGAACATCTCGGCTCTCTGGAGGTGGGGGCTGTGAACTCCCATCCCTCTACAGCTGCCCTGGAAATCAGCCTCCATGTGTGGTCACTTCTGGACACTGCGAATATCATCCATTAAGTTCAGGCATGGCTACAAGTTGTCTATGGTAAACGGCAAGGTGACTGCCTTTGACCTTGACATCAGGAACCAAGGAGGAAAGGACAACTATTTTAATAAGAAGGCATTTAATGCTCTAGTCACTTGGGAAATGGCAGGGTTATAGGGGCTGCAGGCCAAGGAGGAGATGAAAACTCAAATATCTATTTCATAATATCACAGTGTTTTCATGGACCCCTGGAGGAGAGTTCAGAAATCAATTTTTCCTTCTCTTTAAAACACAGAACCACCAGAGGTAGATTTTTTTTTATATAAAAATAGGCTTTCCCCCACTATTTCATCACAAAAACCTAGTTCCTTCCTTCCACAAGCCCTTAGCTGTAAAACACTTTGTGTAATAATTTGAAATATTTCTAATGTATAAGGTGGATCAAGGTAAACCAGCCTTGCTCAAACGTTGCTTACAGCCGTTTATTGAACTTACATTTCTTACTTACAGCTTAGGTTATTGAACAAAGGCACTAATCTAGTTAAAAAGACCAACTGTGCCTCTGGGATTTCCAGTTGATTCATAAGGATCATAGTTAAGAAGCAAGAGAACTCCACTAAAGGGGAAAGAGCAGAGGGTGGGGTTCTGGGTAAGCTCATTGAGATCTTAGGGGTGGGACACTGGGTCAAGACCCCATGAGGAGCCTGAAGTGACAAAACACACTGAGCATCCCTAGATGATGACTCACGTCCAAATAGGAGAAAGACTTTCTCCCAATCATACTCTACCACCTTATAACAAGAACTATAGGTGGTTTTATTGACCAGACAGTTGGGGGGAGATTAAGAATTATATAAAACCATATAAGAGGATCAGTTTAAGAAAATTGTTCTTCCTTGCAAATGGCTGCTCGCAATAGATTTCACTGCAGGAGACTCCACACAGAGGTCAAGATTTTGGAGAAGCAGTGAGGGACAGAATGGATTCTACCATGAGCTCTAACTAGCTAGGAGGAAGGACTGTTTGCTGCCACCAATTTAATTTGTGGCCACACAGGTAACTGGGATGCCTAAATGTGGGCTGCCTGACTCCTCTCTGATTTATCACCGCAGCATGCTAAGCTAATTTTTCAATCTTAGAGCCTCTAAGAACTCAAATGCAGACCTGATTGCCAGTCATCTGTAAAATAGAATGTCTCCCTTTAATCAGTGGTTCTCAATCTTCCGAACACCGCAACTCCTTAATACAGTTCTTTTGTGATGACCTCTAACCATACAATTATTTCTGTTGCTACTTCATAACTGTAATGTTGCTACTGTTATGAATCATAATGTAAATATCTGATATGCAGTCCCTATGGAAGAGTTGTAACCCACAAAGGGGTCTCGACCCACAGGTTGAGAACCACTGCCTTAAATGCTCCCTTATCTTTGAATATATAATTTTAATTCTTCATTTTCAATCTTAACAGTTTTGCTTCCTTTGAGAGGTTTAGTTCAAACCTTAGGGGATTCCTCTTGTCCCACCACCCCACCCACTTCTAGTTGCAACTCTCACCTTCCCTTTCTTCAAGTGTTTGGTTCAAATCTTCTACCAGGGTCACCACCTCCACACTACTCTTGGGATGCTGAGAATTCACCCAAATCCTCATCTCTCCAGGCAAAACCCTCAGGAACTGCTCAAACACGAGCCGCTCTAAGATCTGCTCTTTGGTGTGAACGTCTGGTCTCAGCCACTGCTTGCAGAGGTCCCAGAGCTGGTTCAGGGTTTTCCTGGGCCCTTCTTCTTGTGAGTAACAAAACCACCTGAACTTCTGCCTGAAAGAATCTAGGTCATCAGCATATCCTCTTAAGAGCCTTTCTTGGGCCCTAGAAGTATCCATTCCAGAGACCCTGCTTTGTTCAAGTGAAGCCAGAGCTGGAGGGCCTGGGGAGGCAGCTGCCAGCATGTTCGAGGCCACTGAAGCCTGCATTGTGTCACCAGCGGGAATCCAGTCCCGTGTAGACTATCTGAGTATGTACGATCTGCCAACAGGTACTATTTACCCACAGCAAACTACCAATGTCTCCAGAATCCAATTTAGAGTCTTGAAGGAACTGTCAAGAAGAAACAAAAGACATTAAATGCATAAACAGATTGTTAATTCTGAAAAGACTGACTTTTATCACCAATGCATGCGCCCGCCCCCCATACCTAGTCACTTAAGAGACACAAGAGTCTCTAAGTGTCCAACCAACCAGTCTATTAACAGGAGAATTTTTTTTAAGATTTATTTTGTTAACAGCATTCTTCTCCCTGCACGTATGCCTGCTTGCCGGGAGAGAGCACCAGATCTCACTATAGATGGTTGCGAGACATCATGTGGTTGCTGGGAATTGAACTCAGGATGTCTGGGAGGGCAGCAGGTGCTCTCAACCTCTGACCCAACTCTCTAGCCCCAGAGAAGGAGAATCTTTACAGACTAAAAACTGAAGGGTTTAATAAAGATAATTAAACATCCTCTGCAAGCAGACAGGTACTTCAAACCTAATACAACTCCTGCAAACAAAATGAATGGAAGATCCCCTGGTTCCAAGAGATTGAGTCACAAACACAGGTTAAATACAGGTCCTGCCCTTTCAACAAACACTAATTTCCTAGCAGCTGCTCAACTCAGAAGCCTGATTTCATATATGACTATCAAATTTCCTCCCCCGTCTTACTTTCCACATAATAAATAACCAAGCTCAGACCCTCTTCATCTTAACATTTATTTTTAGATATACTTATATATGTATGAGTGCTTTTCCTGCCTGCATGTATGTGTACCACGCATGTGTCTGGTGCCCATAGAGGTCAAAAGCAAGCCTTGGATCCCCTGGAGTTGGAGTTACAAAAGGTTGTGAGCTGCCACGTGGCTGTTGGGAACAGAACTTGGGTCCTCTGAAGAGCGACAAATGCTCTTGGCTTGGGGCCCACTTTCCTACGTATGTTTGTCTTCAGTCAACTCTCACACTGCAGCCAGAGAATTTCCCTGATACTCAGAAGCTGACCCTGTTATTTTCCTGCTTGGAAGCCCTCATGGGTTCACTAAGACCAAGCTCAATGCAGAAGGCACACAGAAACATCTAGAGATTTGCCTAGATACCTTACAGACCGACCCAACTTGCAGCTACACAGAAATACTCCAATACCAACACTCTCTTATCCTTAACACCAGAGCTTTCCACCCCCTCTTCCCTTGGAATGCTGCCTTCTCCGTCTTACTAATCCTTTACTCATTCTTCAAAATATGACTCTTGGGATTCAGGGCTGAACAGCAGTTTCTGTTTCGCAGAGGAACCAGGTTCAATTCTATTCCTGGCAGCTACATAGCAGCCCACAACCATCTGTAACTCCAGCGTCAGGGGATCCCACACTCTCTTCTGACATGCACGCTGGGCATTCATACATGCAGGCAAAACAGCCACAAACACACAATAAAACTAGGGCTGGAGATATTGCTCAGTGGTAGGATACTTGCCTAGCATGTGGAGGTCCTGGTTTCAACCCTCAGGAAAACAGACACACACACACACACACACACACACACACACGACCCCCATCACCAAAAGGGGGGGAAATTCCACAAAAAAACATATAAAAAAACAAAACCTCTGATTCTTCTCAGTTGACCCATAACCACCATCCCCAACTCCCACCTCTACTCCTCCATCCCCCCACCCCACCACCTTGTGACGCTTCCCTTTGATTCCCAAATGGTCTTTGCACACAGCCTGGCCTGTGCTGCATGCATGCACGCATTTATTCATTCATTCCATAAAAGACTGTGCATTTACAGATATGGGAATAGACACCGTGAGGACAGGAGTGTACAGATCACTTATATCAAGGAAAGATGGCCTGAGATGTGCCACTATTTGGCAAGATTACGAGCCTCTTATTGCAATTAGCATAGCGTTAACTAACTACCCACCTCAGGACCCGCCACACAGTGATGTCATTTACTTCTTTGCTAACCATCTGGCGCCCACCATGTTACCTGACGTCCCTTTGGACACCTGGGTCTCCGCAGTGACTGAGACATGCGCAGCTGCTTCACTAGAAGCTCCGTGAAAATGTGACGCAGGTTAAGATTCTCAACTCAAGAGAGAAAAGCAGCGGCAATTTGCCCCACAGGTGTCAGCTGGCAAAGCCTGGAGACGCTCTGGTTTATTAAGATCCAGGAGGAAGGATGATCCGGGGTTTCTTAAGGGATACAGCCAGGGACGCTGCTAAACATCTAGCAAAAGGATCACACACAAACACACGCACGCGCGAGGAAACAAACCAAGGAATTATCCAGTTCAAAATACCAACGGTAACGAAGTTTTCAAGCCCTGAGCAAGGGAGGAATGAATGGAAGGATGGGATGGCGCGGTGCTGCAGAAGAGCACGCCTCCGCAGCGGTAGCTGCAGCGCAGCGCCAGGTCCGTGGGATGCTCTGGGTCCTAACCCGCCCAAGATGTGCGCGCTCGGAGCCCGCAACCCGCGCAGCTTCAAAAACCAACGGCGGAAACCGATACCTGTACCAGCACCCGCAGCCAGCTGCACCGCAACAAGCTTTCAGAACCTTGTCCGCAGCAGCTGCGCACGCAAGCCCGCGGGAGCCACTGCGCCTGCGCAGAAGCTATGAACTACGAATCCCGGGGTCCGCTGGCGTTGATTTCAGAAACTTCTGTGCGTTCCATAGGCTCTTATCTGGCCTGTTGCGCATGGTTACTGAGAAGCGGCTGGGGGGTTGGCTGCTAAATTATTGCTGCGCCAGAGGCTTAGAGGCCTAGAACCCGCTTAGATTTTTAGATCACGGCCCAGTATCACGGCAACCTTAAATCTTCCTCAGCTTCTCCCGTCACCACCTTTCACTAAAATAAATCCAAAGTGAAAAAATCCACAGAGGAAGCATTAGCAAGGCATTCAATGCGAGCTGTAAGTAACGCTGCAAATAAATTCCACAAATGCAGTCTTCTGACTGCCACAGCTGCCACCATGATCCGAGGCAAAGCACCAAGCATGCTTTGCCCGCACTGTTGCGATAGCATCTTGGTTTTTCCCTTCATCCCCTGTCCATCACCTACACCATGGTTAGACAGATTATGTCCCTCCTTAGGAAGAACTGCTCAAAACTCTGGTTACTTTTTCTCTGGCTGTGATAAAATACCTTGACAAAAGCAACTAAGGAGGAAAAGGGTTTCTATCAGCTCACAGTTAAGGTATGGTCCTCACGGCCCGGAAGTCAAGGCATTACGAGCTAGTCACATAGCAACACAACCAGGAAGCGGAGAGCATTGGATGCACGCTGCTCCTCAGGTTCCTTTCTCCGTTTAAACAATCTAGGATCCCTGTCCAGGGAATGGTGCCACCCTCAGCACCTGGTCTTCCCATCTCAAATACGGCCATCGGCGATGGAGGTAATCCCACAGAGGCACGCCCAAAGACTGGTTTCCCAAGTCATTCTAGGGGTGGTTTCACTGATAATGGAAGACAGATCTGTTCAATAATAGTATCAAGAAATGATAAAAATTCTGGAGTTTGGAGATGTACATCAGCTAGTGATGGGCGTGAACAAGATAACACAAGTGTGGCCGATCACAGTGAAGATGACCACACCAATGTCTATCTATGTACTTAAGACATTCCTCCTACAAGTGCAAGGTTGATGTAGCTCCTCTGAGAGAAGTTTCTAGTTTTTTGAAACTAGGGTGATCTCTCTTAGTCCCACAGAATCCAGAAATGGGGAGAGGGGTACAGTCCAGGGGCACTGCGGGTGCAAAGGACTGTGAAGTGTGGTCCTGGGTTTGCTTCAGATGGTGTGTGTGTGTGTGTGTGTGTGTGTGTGTGTGTGTTTAAAAGCAGAATTCACTCATATAGCCCAAGTTTTTTTTTTAAACATATAATAAAATGGAGTCGGTCTCGTCTCTATAGCCTGGGATTTAGATTCTAACTGGAATCAGACGGTGTTTGCTCTAGAGATGGCTTCTTTCACTCTGTAGTGAATGCACGAGATTTGTCAACACTGTTGCACATGGTTGTTTGTTGTTTTCATTGCTGCACAGCCTTCTTCTGTGACCTGCTGTTTACATCACTTTTCTGTTTACACAGCATCTGGTCCACTATTGTGGATAGGGAAGGAAATACACATGTGTGCATGTGAGTACGTGTCTGGAAAGGGCTGCCTGGTTTTCCTGATTCCCTTCTAGAACAGAGGTTCTCAGCCTGGGGGTTGAATGACCCTTTCACAGGGGTCACCGAAGACCATTGGGAAACACAGATATCCACATTATGATTCATAACAGTAGCAATATTATAGTTATGAGGTGGCAACAAAAATAATCTTATGATTGGGGTCACCACATGAGGAACTGTATTAAAGGGTCACAGCAAGCTGTGCCATGAGTCCAATATAGCCACAGCCTTTATTTACTTTTAACTTTTCACTGACACATAAAATGTACACATATTTATGGGGTACAGTGTGATGTTTCACTTACGTATTTAGTTTGATATTACACTATTTAGTCATGCTATGCCATGGTATGCATTTAGAGTTCAGAGGATAACTTGTCGAAATAGATTTTCTCCTTCCACCATGGAGCTTCCTGCAATCAATTCTGGCAGGAAGGATGGTTGCTGACTGAACCATTTGGCTGGTTCCAGTGCAATGTTTTGAATCATGTGCATGTTGTGTGATATTCAGATTGGAGTGAGCCTATCTCCTTTTACATATCTGCCGTGTCTTCACATAAACATTCAAATTTTGTTCTTCTAGTTTCCTGAAAGGTACCTTATGCCATCATCACCTCTAGTCCCCCTGCTGTGCAGCAGAACACAGAACACTACTGCATCTCTTAATAAATTATCTTCACTGGAACAGCTGTGCTCCTCTGCCAAGGACTTATCTGTAGTGGTTCCCACAAAACAGAGGCAGAGAAGAGTAGTTGTGAGAGACTATGAGGTCCAAAGAGCCTAAATTAATTACAGTCTAGCCCTTCATAGAAAATGTTTATGATGGCTGATGTGTGTAGCTCAGTAGCCGAGAGTCTGTCTAGCATTCAGAGTCAGATTAAAATCTAATCTACTGGAGCAGAGGGACAGAAAGTTCCAGGAATATCCTTTCTGAAAGAGAAAAATGCAAGAAGGAAGGAAAGACGGAGGAAAAAAAGAAAAAAAAGAAACAGCTGTGTCTGTTGTTACTGAGAAGTGTTGGGGGCTTTGGCTGAAGGTAAGGATGGATAGGAAGAAAGGGAAGCGAAGCAAAAGCGGAGGAACAATTGCAGATGGATAGGAAGCAGCTTTGGGTTGGAGCAGACTGAATGAGGAAAACAGCGTTGACCTGAGAAACTGCCAAAGAGCCAATGAAAGACTCTAAATGCATTTGTAAGCCCCCTCAACTCTAAGACATTTTTCTAAAACCTTACACTCACTCTATCTTGGAAAAGGGACAGTCGCCCACACACACATGCTAGACTGCTCTTCCCCCTGTGTCCTTGTGAATAATCTTCAAACATAACTCCATTCTGGGAATTGAGGCAAAGACAACCCACAGATGTTGACTCAGTTCCTGATGTGTTAATTTAGTCACTAGAACAAGGTCAGGAAGACCACAGAGATGCTCTCCCTTATCACCTGACCACGCAGCTATTCTCCTGCCCTGGAATAGACCAATCACTGCTAGTAACCCTTTGAATAAGCCAGTCCAATAAGTTGGAAAACAACCTACAGGTTCCCCCCTTGTGTCTGTGGCTTTTTGCTTTAAAAGATGGACTGTAACAGCTATCGATGTCCTTCATATCCCGAACCTGAAGGGCCCTGTCATGACAGAATAAAAATCCTCTTGCTTTTGCATCAATTGCGCCTGTGTGAATGGTGTCGGAGCAACTCCTCCCTGATGTTTGGACATCTAGTCCAACACCAAGACTGGTGGCAAATGCTTGTGAGCACAGCCCTCAGGAGTCTGAGGCAGGAGCATCATACATTTGAGGCCAGTCTGGACTACATCGTGAGATTCTGTCTCGAAGTGTGCACCCACACAAAGCTGCAAAGCTAAATGGTGGCTAGGTCATATAGGACTTTTGACATCGTCATGATGGAAAACGTCAATATGAAAGTGAAGATTGTAATGACATGAAAAGGTGGAAAATTGACGATGAGGGCTGTCATAGTTAGCTGCAGTCTTCAGGCTATGACGCAATTCAGAGGTTGTAGAATCCTTTTTATTTTCTTAAAGATTTATTTATTTATTTATCAGGTATAAAGTGTTCTGCCGGCATGTATCCTTGCAAGTCAGAAGAGGGCACCAGAACTCATTACATGTGGTTGCTGGGACTTGAACGCAGGACCTCTGAAAGAGCAGCCAGTGCTCTCTACCACTGACCAGCTCTCCAGCTTCTGGGTTGTAGAATCTTTAAGAGGTTATAGTTAGGGGAGAAAAGTCGCATGAAGAATGCCTTTGAATGTTGGGACTCTGCCCCAACCTGTTCCTAGCTGCTGTTAGGTGAGCAGCTTCCTTGAAGCACACACTTCCACCTTGAGACAGGCAGCCAACTTGGCTAAAATGTGAGCTACACCAATGCTTTTCTCCATATAAACTGATGACCTTAGGCTTTGTTACATGAGTGGAAATTGGCCCGCACAACCACTTCCTCTCCCCCATTTCTCTATCATCCAACTAAAGTAACAGCAATTCGTGTTAGGGTCCAGATTCACAAAGACATGAGAAATGAAAAGGCTGTAACAGTAAGAAGATTTTGTGAGGAGAAAACACAGATGATGAATGGGCGGAAATTTACCACATCCCAGAAAATGGACTTTTACTTCAAGGAGTCTGGAGCAGGGGTGGCAAAGGCAAAGGACTTGGTGGCATTGCATAGATTTTTTGAGCAGTAAAATTGAAAGAGGTCAGTGATACAATAAATACATTTGATTTTAATTCTCTTAAAAAAACAGTCACAGCCGGCTTTGTAACTTGGTGATACACTGGTTAGCATCCATGGGCCTTGGGTTCAATTCCCTAAACCATTAAAAAAAATAAATGAAAACAAGGAGATTAAAGGATCAAATACACATATTGTAAATAGAGATTCTTACAATTCCAGAATATGAGTATGATTATGACCATTTCTCCTTCTGTTTTGTTTATATGTGCTCGCAAGTATGTGCACGTGTAGAAAGACTTTGAGGTCTCTCTTTGAACCTAGAGCTCACAGATGTGGCTATACTTGCTTGTTTGAAAGTACTAGATCTTCCTGTGCACTGACAAGTTTGTGTATGTGTGTGTGTGTATGTATGTGTGTGCATGTGTGTGCGTGTGTGTGCATGTGTGTATGTGTGTATATGTGTGTGCATGTGTGTGTATGTGTGTATGTGTGTGCATGTGTGTGCGTGTGTATGTGTGTATATGTGTGTGCATGTGTGTGTATGTGTGTATGTGTGTATGTGTGTGCATGTGTGTACGTGTGTATGTGTGTGCATTTGTGTATGTGTGTGCATTTGTGTATGTGTGTATATGTGTATATGTGTGTGCATGT